GCTGGGGGGAAGGAGCAGAATGGGGAGGCAGAGGGGCCCCCTAGCAGCATGTTGTTGAGAGCCTCGAGGTTCTGTTCCCTTGCCAGGGGAGGAGGAGCAGCTGCTCTGGGCTGTGGCTGAAGGGCGGGCAGCCAGGCAGGGAGCTGCTGTGGGAGGCCGGAGCCGGAAGAGGGGCAGCTATCAGGTGATGCCCTCTCTGGCTTGGGCCCTGCCCCATACGTGGCATTGCTGCGTCTGCCTGGGGGCAGGTGCATGGCTCAGCGCTCACCCTGGGAGCCCCCCCAGAGGGCCAGGCAGCGGGGCCGTGCCCAGGCAAGCTCTCCCTTCTCTGGCGGCAGGTTCTGCGAGCTGATTCACTCCTTCGTGGCAGAGCTGACACCGGGGGGCGAGGAGGTGGGTGCCAGCTTGGATGAGGAGCTGGAGGTGAGTGCCGGGCGGGCGTGGGCCCTCACTCCAAGCGCATCGCTGGTGGGACGGTCGGGAGCAGCCCTTTCCTCTTGCATCAGCCCCAGGGCGCGGTGCAGGGGGCAGTGTGCGTAGCCAAGCGGCCTTGAGCGCGACCCCCAGCCTCAGGGCGCGGTGCAGGGGCCAGTGTGTGTAGCCAAGGGGGTTTGAGCGCGCCCCCCAGCCTCAGGGCGCGGGGCAGGGGGCAGCGTGCGTAGCCAAGCGGGTTTGAGCGCGGCCCCCAGCCTCAGGGCGCGGTGCAGGGGCCAGTGTGTGTAGCCAAGGGGGTTTGAGCGCGCCCCCCAGCCTCAGGGCGCGGGGCAGGGGGCAGCGTGCGTAGCCAAGCGGGTTTGAGCGCGGCCCCCAGCCTCAGGGCGCGGTGCAGGGGCCAGTGTGTGTAGCCAAGGGGGTTTGAGCGCGCCCCCCAGCCTCAGGGCGCGGGGCAGGGGGCAGCGTGCGTAGCCAAGCGGGTTTGAGCGCGGCCCCCAGCCTCAGGGCGCGGTGCAGGGGCCAGTGTGTGTAGCCAAGGGGGTTTGAGCGCGCCCCCCAGCCTCAGGGCGCGGGGCAGGGGGCAGCGTGCGTAGCCAAGCGGGTTTGAGCGCGGCCCCCAGCCTCAGGGCGCGGTGCAGGGGCCAGTGTGTGTAGCCAAGGGGGTTTGAGCGCGCCCCCCAGCCTCAGGGCGCGGGGCAGGGGGCAGCGTGCGTAGCCAAGCGGGTTTGAGCGCGGCCCCCAGCCTCAGGGCGCGGTGCAGGGGCCAGTGTGTGTAGCCAAGGGGGTTTGAGCGCGCCCCCCAGCCTCAGGGCGCGGGGCAGGGGGCAGCGTGCGTAGCCAAGCGGGTTTGAGCGCGGCCCCCAGCCTCAGGGCGCGGTGCAGGGGCCAGTGTGTGTAGCCAAGGGGGTTTGAGCGCGCCCCCCAGCCTCAGGGCGCGGGGCAGGGGGCAGCGTGCGTAGCCAAGCGGGTTTGAGCGCGGCCCCCAGCCTCAGGGCGCGGTGCAGGGGCCAGTGTGTGTAGCCAAGGGGGTTTGAGCGCGCCCCCCAGCCTCAGGGCGCGGGGCAGGGGGCAGCGTGCGTAGCCAAGCGGGTTTGAGCGCGGCCCCCAGCCTCAGGGCGCGGTGCAGGGGCCAGTGTGTGTAGCCAAGGGGGTTTGAGCGCGCCCCCCAGCCTCAGGGCGCGGGGCAGGGGGCAGCGTGCGTAGCCAAGCGGGTTTGAGCGCGGCCCCCAGCCTCAGGGCGCGGTGCAGGGGCCAGTGTGTGTAGCCAAGGGGGTTTGAGCGCGCCCCCCAGCCTCAGGGCGCGGGGCAGGGGGCAGCGTGCGTAGCCAAGCGGGTTTGAGCGCGGCCCCCAGCCTCAGGGCGCGGTGCAGGGGCCAGTGTGTGTAGCCAAGGGGGTTTGAGCGCGCCCCCCAGCCTCAGGGCGCGGGGCAGGGGGCAGCGTGCGTAGCCAAGCGGGTTTGGGTGCGACCCCCAGCCGCTCTGACAGTGCTGTGGTCCATGCAGTACGACTACGAGTACACGGAGACCGGCGACAGGGTCATCCTAGGCAAGGGGACCTATGGGATCGTCTACGCCGGGCGGGACCTCAGCAACCAGGTGCGCATCGCCATCAAGGAGATCCCGGAGCGGGACAGCAGGTAGGAGCCACAGGGGGGGTCCCTTTATCATGTTTTGGGGTTTAGCCACAGGCTGTCACCCTGAGCGCCCCATAGCTCCCAGCCAGCGGGCGAGCATGCCCCACATGTCTGTGTGTGGAGCAGCCCTGGGGCTGCCCCTCCAACATTTGCAGTCTGCTGGTTTCACCCCACTCTGGCCTGCCCCTGCTCTGGTTCCTATTAGCCAGGGACCCCAGCCCGGCCCACACTTCCCCCAAGCGTCCTTTCTCGGGAGCATGCAGAGGTGCCTCGCTCCTCCAAAGAGAAAAGCCCGGCAGCTGGCAGCTTTCACCGGGTTAATGATCCCTCCACGGCCAGCGCAGCACTTGGCTGATTTGGAGTAGCAGTGAAACAAGTGAGTGTTACCCAGAGTCTGGGGGCCTTTGCCCCCTTTTCTAGGCCAGGGACTTCGGCGATGCCGTCTCCTCCAAGTGCCCTGCTGCGCAGAAAGGCGCCAGGGAGTCATGGAGAAAGCTCCATGCTGCTTTCTTCCCCACCAATGCTTCCCGCGATGCACACAGATCTGTCCTGTGATTGCCCCTACCCGGAGACATTGGCTTTTCTTTTGTCAGGAAACAGCCTGTTTCCCCATCCCCAGCTGGGTCTGGTTTGAACTAGGGATGTCCGAGTGTAATACATGGGTAGCCCCAAGCGGTTACACGCGGCTCCCGGTCCAGCTCCCAGGGAGCCAGCTGCTCCCACTGTACCAGGGCGTTCAAGGGCATCCGCTGTATCCGAAACAGCAACAGGGCGCAGCAGCCAGCTCGCCAGAAGTGGAGCAGCAGGTTGGAGACAGTACTCATCGGGAGCTGGCTTAAAAGCTGGCTCCCAGCACGTGCTGGCTCCCGGGGAGCTGGCTGCCGCTCCAGGCTGCAAGTGCGTGTGACCACTGACATTTTTCAGCAATTACAGGGTTAGCCCATTACCCGTATTTTAACATCCCTTGTTCGAACATGTTTTAGTCCCATATTTCCTGCCCCTCTGGGTGTTTACTATACACTCCTCACGCAAGAATAACTGAAATCGGGGTGTTCCTGGTTTTCTGATGGCACCTCACACGACCCCCGTTGGGTACAAATCCCACATGCGTGTGCTGGGGTGTAGCTGAAGCTCCTTGCCCGCCAGGTCTCTAGGAAAGTCAGGGTCCCCAGCAGCATGGCGATCCAGTAGGGCTGCCAGATGCTTCCCAAACAGGGAAAGAAACAGGTTGAGCAAAAAAAAAAAAAAAAAAAAAAAAAGGGGGTGTCTTGTTACCAGGTGCTGCTGGGGAGACAGCAAGCTGAGCCCTGAGAAGCGTTCCTCGCTCTCCCTGCCCCCACCAGACGCGGCAGGAGAAGAATGTCCCCGCCGGCCTTCCGTCCAAGAAAAACAAAATACTGGATGTTTTACACGTCCGGTATTTAACCGGACATCTGGCAACCCCTTTGATCTGGGGGTGGGGCCGCTGGAGGTGGATGAGTGTGAACAGATGTGCACTCTTGGCGTGCAGGAGTCCCAGTGTGAGCGCACTAGTGTCAGGGTGAGGAGGCTCCTGCCTACTCCTTGGCGTGACTCTCGCGTGTCTTTCCCGTCCTGCTGGGAGCAGACGGCGTTGCGGACTGTGGGCCACTGCAGGCCCCCTGCCCAGCCCTGGAGCAGGAGCAGGCAGGTTTTCACTCCTCTACTGCCTCTGTCCAGGTACTCGCAGCCCCTGCACGAGGAGATCGCCCTGCACAAGCGCCTGCAGCACCGGAACATCGTCCAGTACCTGGGCTCCGTCAGCCAGGACGGCTTCATCAAGATCTTCATGGAGGAGGTGCCGGGAGGTAGGCGGGGCCAGCGCGTCTCCAGGCTGGGAGCTGAGCCTGGGGGTGCCAAGGAGAGAGGCAGGTGAAGCGGTGTCCCCCAGACAGAGCAGGGCACCCCAGCAGGGGACACGCTGACATCCCCACGTCTCGGCTCAGCTGCCTCCTAGCCCTGGATTATGGCCCGGAGTCTGCTAGGGGGATCCTAATGGCCTTGCAGTGCTTCCCCAGACCTATGGTGGCACCTGCCCTGCCCGCGATGCCCCGTGCTGTGCCAGCTCTGGGATTGGGGAGGGGTGGGGCGGACCAGGCTCAGTGGGGTTGTGCCCTGGCATCCCCATCTCCTTCCCCTCCCCCGCAGGGAGCCTCTCGTCCCTCCTGCGCTCCAAGTGGGGGCCCCTGAAGGACAACGAGCCCACCATCGTGTTCTACACCAAGCAGATCCTGGAGGGGCTGCGCTACCTGCACGACAACCAGATCGTGCACCGGGACATCAAGGTGAGGGGGCCTGATCTCGGCTGCTCTCCCACCCTGGAAAGTCGGGGGCTGGGCTGTTGCAAGCTGAAGTCGCAGGGGGGCCCTGCCTTAGGGGATCAAGCAGTCAGGGGTCCCCAGGCTGCACCCACCCTGCTTTACGGGGCCTTCCCCGGACTGGAGAGGGACGATGGGCTAACCCAGGGACCCCGAACATCCACCACCCCGGGCTGCTCATCTGTGCTGAGTCCCAGGATGGCTTCTAGCACCTCTGTGGTCCCCGTGGGCCGCTCTGCAGAGCTGCTGGTCCCAGGCAGAGCCCTGGGCCTGCCCCCTGCTCTGGGTGTTCGAGCACATCCAGTCCCCCCCTTGCCCCCTCCATCTCACCTTGCGCCGTGGCTGTGGGGTGGATCCGTGGCCCTGCCCCACTGCGGATCCACCCTCGACTCCAGATCGGGGCCACGGGAGTGAGGGGTGGGGGAGAGCACATCCCACCTCTAAGCACTCGGCCCTGGGGGGGGTCTCTGCAGCTGGGGCCTGGTCTGATGTGTTGAGGTGGGGGGGTCCCTTTGACAGGGAGACAACGTCCTGATCAACACCTACAGCGGGGTGCTGAAGATCTCTGACTTCGGGACCTCCAAGAGGCTGGCTGGGATGAGCCCCAGCGCGGAGACCTTCACAGGTGTGAGGGCCCCCCCAGCCCTGTTGGGTTGCGGCAGGGAGCTCCCCAGGCTGGGCTGTGGGAAGGGCCATTCGCCATCTGCCCCGGCTGGAAGGCGCTGGGGCCTAGGAGCATCCTTACGTCGTGGCCAGAGGAGAGGAAAGGGTCTGGGAAAGGCTCGCTGGCTGATCTGGGGAAGGGGGAGGGTTCTGGCTTTCCTCAGTCACTCTGGTCTTTTCCAGGCACCCTGCAGTACATGGCCCCGGAGATCATCGACCAGGGCCCGCGAGGCTACGGGAAGCCGGCCGATATCTGGTCCCTGGGCTGCACCCTCATTGAGATGGCCACGGGCAACCCCCCATTCTTCGAGCTGGGCAGCCCTCGGGCCGCCATGTTCAAGGTGACGA